TTGTAGTTCATCACTAAGCTCTTGTAGCTAGGTGGGAGCGACTGAAGAATTCTGTCAATGACCGCCTCGTCCGGGAGGTTAATGTCCAGCTGGGACAAGCGGTTGTGCAACCCAGACATTTTGAGTATGTGCTCACTGACAGAACTATTTTCCTCCATCTTACAACTATAGAACTTGTCGGAGACTTCATATCTCTCGACCCGGGCATGAGCTTGGAAAACCATTTTCAGCTCTTCGAACATCTCATATGCTCCGTGTTGCTCAAAACGCTTTTGGAGCCCCGGTTCTAAACTGTAAAGCATGCCGCACTGAACGAGGGAGTAATCATCAGCACGTGACCGCCAAGCGTTCATAACGTCTTGGTTCTCTGGGATGGGTGCTTGACCTAGCGATGCTTCTAGGACATATGCTTTCTTGGCAGCTATGAGGATGATCCTCAGGTTCCGGACCCAGTCCGTATAGTTGCTGCCATCATCTTTCAGCTTGGTTTTCTCTAGGAACACGTTGAAGTTGAGGTTGACATGAGCGTTGGCCATTTGATCTACAAGACATTTTGCAAAGGTTTCTAGACTAAGTTCATGATAATTAAGTTCATCTAATCAAATTATTTCAATGAACTCCCACTCAGATTAGACATCCCTCTAGTCATCTAAGTGATACATGATCCGACTCAACTAGACCGTGTCCGATCATCACGTGAGACGGACTAGTCATCATCGGTGAACATCTCCATGTTGATCGTATCTTCCATACGACTCACGTTCGACCTTTCGGTTTCTTGTGTTCCGAGGCCATGTCTGTACATGCTAGGCTCGTGAAGTCAACCTAAGTGTTTTGCATGTGTAAATCTGGCTTACACTCGTTGTATGTGAACGTTAGAATCTATCACACCCGATCATCACGTGGTGCTTCGAGACAACGAACTTTCGCAACGGCGCACAGTTAGGGGGAACACTTTCTTGAAACTATTGTGAGGGATCATCTTATTTACTACCGTCGTTCTAAGCAAATAAGAAGCAAAAACATGATAAACATCACATGCAATCAAATAGTGACATGATATGGCCAATATCATTTTGCTCCTTTTGATCTCCATCTTCGGGGCGCCATGATCATCGTCATCACCGGCATGACACCATGATCTCCATCATCATGATCTCCATCATCATGTCTTCATGAAGTTGTCTCATCAACTATTACTTCTACTACTATGGCTAACGGTTAGTGATAAAGTAAAGTAATTACATGACGTTTATGTTGACACGCAGGTCATAAATAAATTAAGACAACTCATATGGCTCATGCCGGTTGTCATACTCATCGACATGCAAGTCGTGATTCCTATTACAAGAACATGATCAATCTCATACATCACATATATCATTCATCGCATACTTTTGGCCATATCACATCACATGGCACATGCTGCAAAAACAAGTTAGACGTCCTCTAATTGTTGTTGCAAGTTTTTACGTGGCTGCTATAGGTTTCTAGCAAGAACGTTTCTTACCTACGCCAAAACCACAACATGATATGCCAATTTCTATTTACCCTTCATAAGGACCCTTTTCATCGAATCCGATCCGACTAAAGTGGGAGAGACAGACACCCGCAAGCCACCTTATGCAACTAGTGCATGTCAGTCGGTGGAACCAGTCTCACGTAAGCGTACGTGTAAGGTCGGTCCGGGCCGCTTCATCCCACGATGTCGCCGAATCAAGATAAGACTAGTAACGACAAGTAAATTGACAAAATCAACGCCCACAACAACTTGTGTTCTACTCGTGCATAGAAACTACGTATAGACCTAGCTCATGATGCCACTGTTGGGGAACGTAGCAAAATTTTAAAATTTTCTACGCATCACCAAGATCAATCTATGGAGTCAGCTAGCAACGAGGGAGAGGGGAGTGCATCTACATACCCTTGTAGATCGTGAGCGGAAGCATTCAAGAGAACGGGGTTGATGGAGTCGTACTCGTCGTGATCCAAATCACCGATGACCGAGCGCCGAACGGACGGCACCTCCGCGTTCAACACACGTACGGTTGGGGAAGACGTCTCCTCCTTCTTGATCCAGCAAGGGGAAGGAGAGGTTGATGGAGATCCAGCAGCACGACGGCGTGGTGGTGGAAGCAGCGGTGATCTCAGCAGGGCTTCGCCAAGCTCCAACGAGAGGGAGAGGTGTTACGAGGGGAGAGGGAGGCCCCAGGGACTTGGGTGCGGCTACCCTCCCTTCCCCCACTATATATAGGGCCCCTAGGGGGGCGCCGGCCCTAGGAGATCCAATCTCCAAGGAGGGGGCGGCGGCCAAGGGGGGACTTGCCCCCCAAGTTAGGTGGGGCGCCCCCACCCCTAGGGTTTCCAACCCTAGGCGCAGGGGGAGGCCCATGGGGGCGCACCAGCCCACTAGGGGCTGGTTCCCCTCCCACTTCAGCCCATGGGGCCCTCCGGGATAGGTGGCCCCACCCGATGGACCCCCGGGACCCTTCCGGTGGTCCTGGTACAATACCGATTACCCCCGAAACTTTCCCGATGGCCGAAACTGGACTTCCTATATATAAATCTTCACCTCCGAACCATTCCGGAACTCCTCGTGACGTCCGGGATCTCATCCGGGACTCCGAACAACTTTCGGGTTGCCGCATACTAATATCTCTACAACCCTAGCGTCACCGAACCTTAAGTGTGTAGACCCTACGATGCAGACATGACCGAGACGACTCTCCGGTCAATAACCAACAGCGGGATCTGGATACCCATGTTGGCTCCCACATGTTCCACGATGATCTCATCGGATGAACCACGATGTCGAGGATTCAATCAATCCCGTATTCAATTCCCTTTGTCAATCGGTACGTTACTTGCCCGAGATTCGATCGTCGGTATCCCAATACCTCGTTCAATCTCGTTACCGGCAAGTCACTTTACTCGTACCGTAATGCATGATCCCGTGACCAGACACTTGGTCACATTGAGCTCATTGTGATGATGCATTACCGAGTGGGCCCAGAGATACCTCTCCGTCATACGGAGTGACAAATCCCAGTCTCGATCCGTGTCAACCCAACATATACTTTCGGGGATACCTGTAGTATACCTTTATAGTCACCCAGTTACGTTGTGACGTTTGGTACACCCAAAGCACTCCTACGGCATCCGGGAGTTACACGATCTCATGGTCTAAGGAAATGATACTTGACATTGGAAAAGCTCTAGCAAACGAACTACACGATCTTGTGCTATGCTTAGGATTGGGTCTTGTCCATCACATCATTCTCCTAATGATGTGATCCCGTTATCAATGACATCCAATGTCCATAGTCAGGAAACCATGACTATCTATTGATCAACGAGCTAGTTAACTAGAGGCTCACTAGGGACATGTTATGGTCTATGTATTCACACATGTATTATGATTTTCGGATAACACAATTATAGCATGAATAATAGACAATTATCATGAACAAGGAAATATAATAATAATCATTTTATTATTACCTCTAGAGCATATTTCCAACACTATTTACTTGTGGATTTGATTAATCTATAAAGTGCTAATATTTCTAGCACTCTGAAACTAGTCTCTCTCTGTATCCATCCCCCTCTTCCGGCTGGTGTATAACATCAGTGTATTTGTAATGGTTACTAGTATGAATAGAATTGCAGGTGTTTCTTAAAAAAAACTAGTCACTCCTATATATATAAGATAAAATAAAGCTCATAATATGATTCGAAAGAAAAAAGAACGCAATGATTTGTGCATGTGTGGGTTACGAGCGTATCATGGCCCGGTCGATCGACCCATGTGAGCTTGCACTGGACGCGGGCTACGAGTTCCGGAATCTGCTAACATGCGGGGTGCCTTTGTGTGTTGACAGTTAACACCGCCCGGCATTTTTTGGGGGGGTTTTCTTGTAGGCAAGAACATCCAGCTAGCTCTATCAGGAGTTCTTTCGAGATGTAGCACCTACAGAATGAAACGATGTGTTTCCTCCAAAACTGGAAAAACAATACTGATTCCATTGTAACAGAAAGATGGTACAGTACTGAATAAACCAGTTTCTAATCGGTTAATTAACAAGCACTTATTAGACAGTGTAGGAGCATTATGCTATATGAGTATATGGTGCTAGAACTGACGATATATGTCGTGCTGGAATTAAAGGGAGTAATTACTAGGATCTCCGTATAGAACCGTTAGCAAGGAACCCCGATCAGTACCAGCTCATTTTTGTGATAACCTAGACGTTTAAGAAAATAAGTTGGATTTGTGATAACTGTGCATGATTTGGTTTTGTTATTGCATGGTTGATTCCCTCTTTGGTTTGCACGTGGCTCTCTGCTAATCATGTCAGGACGGCTCATGAGTGAAGCACTAACCCAATAAAAATGGCGAGCCTGGTCCTGAGATTCCTGTACATGCGCCTCATGAGTGCCGTTTGTTTAAGCTCGTAGGAAGCTTCCTAGCGACATCCGAAACGTACGGAGGACATACAGTACTGAGCAGCCAGCCATGTCAACCAAGAGAGCAGCAGCCAGTAGTGCGTGCCAAGTTGGCTATACTTTGCAAAGATAAGAGCACCACATCAGCAAAGACGAACGTTAATCCGGTAATCAACAAGATGCTCATATGCTTAATTGATCGCCACGTTCAGACCAAGTAGGAGCCATGCGCATGCGCATGCACATGCATGCAGCTCCGCGCGCCATGGATATGCATGCACAAAGTCAATGCCCTTTGGAGCCATGGACTGCCAGATCGCTCACAAATTTAATCACTACTCCATGTTACAATAATTGTACTGCTGTTAGTACTGGTGAACAGGCTCGTAATAATTGGGAAAACAAATTGCAGACGAGCGTGCGCTGGGCAGGCCTATATATACATCGGTGGTGCCCTGTAGTTCACTCAAGCAAGCGGTAGCATCATCATATCGTAGTAGTAGCTAGAGCTAGCTAGGTCTCCTCGACCCCAGTCTCAGTAGTTTCTCTTCAAGATGTCGCAGAGGCCGGGGAGGCACCAGAGGAGGGCGTCGCAGAGCGTGTTCTCGCTGCCGGAGAACTTCGCCAGCCTGGAGGACGTGCCGGCGGACGGCGTCGGCGAGCAGCGGAAGCCCGCCGCGGCGGGGGCGGACGCCTCCGAGCAGCAGCCCGCGAGGCCGGCGGCGGGGCGCCACCGGCGGGCAATGTCCATGGCCGTGCCCTCCAGGGACCTGGACATGATCGCGGAGGACATGGGAAGCTACAAGTACGGCGCCTGATTAGCGGGACGTGTAGTTCACGCTGGTGTGTACGTACGTACGAGTTCTTCCCTGGCTGTTGGGTAGTGTCCTGTTCTGTTTGCCGTTTGGTAGTGTTGTTCTGTGCTGTGTTTTTCGTGGTTCGCTGAATGTGTACTCCTTCATTTGCTTGCCTGACCTGAGTAAAGAAATCCCGCTGTTACAAATTTCAGTGTTTGTGGCAAAGGTAAAAACTTACAAACGTTCCTAGGTTACCATAATGCGGCACAGCTCTTGGGAAGCAGGGTGATTTACTGATTTATCATTACGAAAGGATGATACAGTTGCGTATGGCACTCATACCGTCGCTAAGCCGACAGCCGAGAACCGTCGCTAATCCGATGCCAGACGGAGAACGGCAACGCCACGGTGGTGCCGGCCGGTGGGCGGGGGCAGCCAGAGGAATCGATGGTGGCAGATCCGGTGAACGGTGATGGAGATCATGGAGATGACGCGAATCTTGCGAGGCTAGGCTAACGAGCGGCGAGGTGGATCCGGTAGGCAACCCGACCTGTCACCGTGAAAAGAAAATAGAAAGTGACGTCGGCACAGCGCTCGTGCTATCGTGCGCATGACCTCGCCCGGGCGTGCTGCTGGAAGCCCCATCGCGCTCGCTCACAGCCTCCCGTTAGTAGGCCCGCCTATGAATGCGTCTTTTTTTTCTGCACCTGGTTTTTTCAAAGGTAGCTTTTTTTACCTAGGTCGGTTGCTAATTAAAGATATGAATTAAAAAAAATCATAAATTCAAAAAATGTTGACGAATTCAAAAAAATCACGGGTTTGAAAAAACGTTCGCGAATTCATAAAGTGCTCATGATTTCAAAGAAAGTTCATGGGTTCAAAAATGTTGAGGAATTCAAAAGTTGTTCATGACGTCAAAAAATGTCCACAAATTACTCGAGGATTTGAACTAGTGTTCACGAATTCAAAAAAGTTCGCAATCTTGAAATATTATTCATGAATTCAAAAAATGTTGATGGATTTGAAAATAATGTTCATGAATGGATAAAATGCTTGCAGATTTGAAAAATGTTAGTGATTTCAAAAAATATTCATAAGTTCAAAAAACATCATGAATTTGAAAATTGATTGGGAAGCTACAAGTACGGCGCCTGATTAGTAAGATGTGTATTTCACGCTGGTGTGTACGTACGTACGAGTTCTTCCGTGGCTGTTGGGTAGTGTCCTGTTCTGTTCGCCGTTTGGTAGTGTTGGTCTCTGTGCTGTGTTTTTCGTGCTTCTCTGAATGTGTACTCCTTCATTTGCTTGCCTGGCCTCAGTAAAGAAATCCCGCTGTTGCAAATTTGCAGTGCTTGTGGCAAAGGTTAAAATTTAAATACGTGCCCAGGTTACAGTAATGCGGCACAGCTCTTCGAAAGCAGGATGATTTGCTGATTTTTCATTACCAAAGGATGATACAGTTGTGTATGGCACTCATACCGTCGCTAAGCCGAGAGCCGAGAACCGTCGCTAATCCGATGCCAGACGGAGAACGGCGATGCCACGTTGGTGCCGGCGGGTGGGCGGGGCCAGCGGGACGAGTCGATGGCAGCAGATCCGCTGAACGGTGACGAGAATCTTCCGAGGGTAGGCCAACGGGCGGCGAGGTGGATCCGGTAGGCAACCCGACCTGTTACCGTGAAAGAAAATAGAAAGTGACGTCGGCACAGCGCTCGTGCTATCGTGCGCATGACCTCGCCCGGGCGTGCTGCTCGAAGCCCCATCGCGCGCGCTCACAGCCTCGCGTTAGTAGGCCCGCCCATGAAAGCAACTCCACCGGGCCGACCAATCGAACGGCGACTTCATCCGTCTTTTATCTATTTAGATTGGTCGTCCGTCCAGCGTTCGCCCTATTTTAAATTTAGATCGGCCGTGCATCTAACGTGTTGATTCATATGTGCCGGTATGGCCGGCTCACCGTCCTATTTTAACAAATGCTTATTTTTGCATTGATTTTGCATTTAAATGTATAGTCAAATAACTTAATTTGAACCGAATAAAATAGCATAGTATTACAAGCCGAATAAACATAAAAATGTCTCACATAGTTTTGCAAGACAAATAAAGAAAATACATTTATTGGTTGTCAACATGAGCGCATATATGCTTAACCAAATCATTCTACAGTTGCACGTGAGTTTCCCAATCACGCATGTCATGATGAAATTGAGTGAACTGTTCAAACGTTGCCGCTCTTCCATGCTCAAGCACAACATTCTTACCCTGAAACTGAAACCCTTGATCGTACAGACGTTCCGGACGCTCATATTCTACGATCATATTGTGCATGATCACACAAGTAGTCATCACCTCCCACAGTTTCTGTGTGTTTCAGGTATTAACAGGATACCGAACGATGCCACATCGAGATTGCAAAACACCAAAGGCACGCTCGACATCCTCCCTAGCACTATCTTGCTCTTGGGCAAATCTTTTCATTTTCTCTCTGACAGGGTTGAGGATTGTCTTGACAATAGTGGTCCACTGAGCTATCGCTCCCTCCCGCTAGAGTTTCCCCCGCAGCCGCCGCCCTAGCCTCTTCCCGTCGCCGCCGGCAGCCGGCGAGCGTGCCCCAACCCG